ATGTTTGAAGAAAAATAATCTTTCAAGATCTCTAATACCTGTCTCTTATACACATCTAGATGTGTATAAGAGACAGCACACACACACACACACACAAAGGTCCTCAACTATGGGCCTGGGCGTCGAGCGCCACCCCTATTTGACTCTCCATTAGCCTCACTCAATGCTTGGCCGTCCAACACCACAACAACACTTCCCCATCAAATCTCTCTCTCTCTCTCTCTCTCTCTCTCTCTCTCTCACACACACACACACACACACACACACACACACACACACACACACACACACAGGTCCTAAACTATGGGCCCGGCCGTCGAGAGCCGCCCCTATTCGGCTCTCCATTAGCCTCACTCGATACTTGGCCGTCCAACATGGCAACAACACTTTCCCGACATGCTCGAATGGAAATTGTGTTGTCGTCATAGGTTCTTGTATCTTGTTTGTATTGGATAAGATAACACCTGTAATCAAAATACAAAGTCGTCCACGTGACAAAATCATATTCATTGGTGCAGAAGGTTTGAACAGAAAGAAACTGATTTTGTAAAATTCATGTAGTTGCCGCAAAAAAGGATGTCATAGCTCCCACAAAAGTTATCACAATCAATATTTGGTGGTCAATTGTATCGAAGCATTTGGAATTTTGGACCTTCGGCCTTCTATGTACCAGACAGCCGCCCCTCGAAAATCTCGGCGTATCTGTTTCTGGCTGCTGTTGGACTTTTCTACTTGTTGCAGCTCCCAATCTTGGACTTTTCCAGACTGGTGCCAGTCCTCGGCTTGCCAGTCGCCGTTGCTTTAATGTTTTCGGTAGTTGCAGGACTTTCCAAGGACCGATCTGCTGTTTTTTTGGGACTTAGTGTTCACTGGACTCACAAAGTCTACCGAACCACAGGACTACCTGTACGGATGGACCCACTGGACCCTATGGCAGCCACTGTTGGGACTGTACTACATGGGACATAGACTCTCGGAATCCTGGGACCGGAACTGGGACATAGACTCAGAATTGCATTTTATTTGATATTTCTGGTGCCATACCACCTTTTGACACACCGCACAATCGCACCACAAGTATGGTTTCTACCAAATGCATTCTTCCCAGCGATTTCATTTCAGCATTGCGTCTAAAAATGTTTTGTCTCTACTCTCCTCATGGCACTCGCTATCCTTCTTTTTCTGCCTTACACAACATAGCACCGATTGCGATCTGTTGGAACCAGATAGGACTCGACATGCATGGAAGGATACTTGTAAACATCACTGGAATGATTCTGCTGGATCTCTTTGCAGCCCCCAAATATGAGCAACTCGTGGTCATTCATTGCCACACAGCTATGGCCCGATCTCACCACCAGTTGGTTGAACTGTTGCTGCAAAGCCCACACACACGGACACGTGTGTGCATTGTGTGCACACACACACACACACACACACACACACAACAACAACAACAACAACACACATATGTGTGTGCGTTATGCACTTGCAAAAACACATATACAGACCATAATGCAAGCATGCGCACGCATCACACCACATTCACATGACACAAGACACCAGACACATATGCAACCCCACATGACATCACACAACCAAATACACACACACACACACACAGTCTCACTGAGCAGACTCACAAACACACCACATGCAGGCATTTTCACAACAGACACGTACATGCATGGATGGGCATACAAGAAACATGCTGCAAAAAAGAGGCAAGAGGCACAGAGAGAACCTCTCAGGGTTAAACACAATGTTGAAGAGAGGATTGAAGGTCATATGAGCATTTCATGTGTGTTTCAAAAGGCTCTGCACAAAGCAAGGAAGAAGCACAGAAACAATCTCTCAGGATGAAGCCCAAGCTGAAGACAGCACTGAAGGCCATATGAGCATTTCACATGTGTTTCAAAAGGCTATCCTGCTTATTATGTATCTGGGTGTACAGCATAGTCGGTAGAGCATTGGGTGTTTAACGTAATGGTTGCAGGTTCAAATCCTGCTATAATGACTGGGCGTTCTATTTGAGTGAAGACGGGCGGAACCAGAGGGAGTCAAAAGAGTCGGGAATTTTTAGAATATTAGATGAGATGCAAAACGAGGTCATGTTGGCCAACCCCTTCCTTACTATTCACCGACAACTTCGGCGACAAGGAAAAAAAAAAAGGAAAAAGAAAGGGGCAGCCTGCAGGCCTCCACTGCCCAGATCAAATCTTATGTCCACACTTTCCTGATATGTATTTTAATTTTTAACTAATACTAATCTAAGAAAGGATCGACCTGTTGATTTCCCATATCCTGATAGGCTGCCCAACAATTATATTGGCTCTTCGGGAAAGAAAAGTTAAAAACACTTCTTCTGGTTTTGCGAGGACAATCTTATCAAGACAAGTAAAATTGTTCATATGGAGTACTATGGACATGAATAATGGTCCATTGCGCTAAGCGGATTGGGCGGGCCATCGAGGCACAGAAAACAATTGGATTACAACATGATCAAAATCTGACTGCTTTAAAAAGTTTTAATCCTAAAATGGACGGAAATTGAACAATGAGAAGTACAGAAGCCAAATTGCATCATCCCAATAAAACCCCGAAAGTCATGTGGTCAAACAGAAAGCAGAATGCACCAAGATATACACCAAATAAGAGCAAAGCAATGAACTTACTTGACAATGTAAGCCCTCATCTCGCCTCCACCATCGTGTTTCCATCAGACAGCACCTAGAGTAGCCTATCAACTAAGGTCTTCGTGGAATGCAGCCGCCAGATGACGAATGAAGACTTTGGCTTGTCCAACCCGCTCATCATCACCCAGAACCCTCTCTCAAGCACAGCGCCCTCTCCCAGGACCTCCGCTTTACCCCCGTCTGGCCTTACAGGCAGCCGCCCGGCTATGGCCGCTGCTTGGCTTTGCGTTGCACCCAGCAGCTTTTCACCACGCTCCCTGACCTTCGTCCAGCGCGTGCGCTTGAGCCTATGCTCCAGCAGGGCTGCCACCATCCAGCCAGGAATGAATGAGAGTGACTCTGCCACACTCTGTTTTGTACAGATCCTGGCTGGGCGAGGCAGCTTGTAGACTGGACTGCTCAGCCTCTGTCCCAGTAGCTGTGCCCAGGGCCCTTCCAGAATGTGCCTGGGGCTCAACTGTAAGTGCCCTGGGCCTCCTCGGCATCTATCTGGTGTGAGCTAGGGCATAACAACCGAGGTCGCAAAGCTCAAAAGCGGTGTGTTAGAAGGATGGGGAGAAAACCTGTTGTAGCGGGGTTATGGGAAAAGTGTGGAGCTTAGATAGATACCTGTTATGATCTTGGTTGTCTGACGATTTCTACTGCCACTCACACACAGACAATCTCATACACGCCCATACATGCATAAGAGAAGGGGGGAGAGGAGACAGAGTCCACACTGCACACAGACCAGAGTAGGCAGCGGAATACAGCTATGCACAGATGGGGAGAAGACACACAGTGTTTCTCACTCTCTGACAAACTCCCAACAACCAATCACAAGGAGAACCTGCGAGGATAACAATTGGAATGACACTGATGTTGAGCCAACTCAAACAATTATCGTAACCGAGTTTGTTCCGGTATCTCGCCACTCTCAGAACTCACACCCCACTCTCTATCCTACACCCAGTTAGTAGCGCCACATCAGACTGGCCTCCCAGAGGCCAGCGCCAACCACCCAGATGAAGAACAGATCCTGCGATGAAGTCTTCAGTGCCGCTGAACAACTCTGACGAAGAACAGGCAGCTATGGCTGCCACCACCCACGAGTACACAGTGTAGAGCCTCGATGTAGCCCGGCCAGACGCAGATACCCCAGGGGTAGATGCGCTGAGGATGCCCCAGCTATGGCAGACTCAGACTGGGCTGGCTATGGCTGCTGTCAACAGCGAGGTCTCAGGATGCCGCCTGCAGACCGTCACCGCCACCAACTTGCTGGGCTTCTCCAATGCTGCTTCGCGAGAAATGAACTGCCAAAAGTCCTGAACCGATGTGCCTAAGCTATCTATAGACTACCGCTACGCTAGCCTAGACCTAGACCGGACTGACTGACTTACCGGTACCGTTTCTGTTTCGGCCTCTCGGCCTCTACCGGACCCGGCTATAGGCTATAGGACCGTCTATCAGCATAGGCCACTTAGGGCCTGTCTATCCTAGGGGTAGCCCGGGCCTGCTATACGCAGTTAAGGTAGCTGTAGGAATTCGAGTTAGTACTGGGCCTATATTTTCCCAGATTTGCAGATATGTCCCTCACGAATTTCCTTACAGGTAGGTCTCTCGGTTAGCCCTCAGCCAAACAAAATTGTGAATCTAACCTACTGCTGTACTATACAGCCTCGCAGTCAGTCTTGGCAGTAGAAATCACCAAGTCATTGCAGGCTTACCCTCCCCGGGAGCAAGGACCTCCGAGCTAGGGGTGTAGGTGAGGTGAACAGCGAGGAAGGTTTCCCTTCTGAGCCGCTTCATATCGCAGGACAACTGACTTTGCTGTCTTAAGAAGTTCCCTCCTGTAGAACCGTCTGTTCTCAGAAGGAGGCTGGAATGCGAACCTCACAAGATACTGCCGATCGGGGCCAGTGCCCCACTCATCCTCAATCCACTCCACGTCATATCCCTTGCCAGGGATCGGTGGACCGAATTGAGGGGGCCGGTCAAGAAATGCATCAGCTGGAGTGAAAGGCAGAAGCTTGGATGCATGAAAGACAGGGTAGGTGCGTAGATGCAGTGGGACGTCGATAACATACGACGGACCGAAGGGATCAACGCCCACTGTATCTAGGACCTGCCATGGACCCAGGTAACGTGGCAACAGCTTGGGGGAGATATCCTCCTCCCTCGACAGCTTAGAACTGGCCACCCAGACATAGTCACCAGTGTGGATGGGGGAAGGCCGCCTGTGGCGATTCGCTTGTTCCACCATAGCCTTTTGGGCTTTGAACAAGTTCGCGCGGGCCCTTTCCACATCTAGACGATAGCGTCTGGTGAACTCTATTGTGCCTGGTGTCAGATCAGGCTTAGCCTTATCGATGATTTCATCGAGAGGCTGTCGTGGTTCACGTCTCCAGTGTAACCGGTAGGGACTGAACCCTGTCGAGGAGTGGACAGACATGTTATACATGAGTTGTGCCCTAGCCAAGTGAAGATCCCAGTCCTGCTGGTCTAGAGAGATGACAGGACGCAGCAATTGGAATAAGACTTGGTTCATCACCTCAGCCTGACCATTGGCTTCAGGATGATGACCAGAAGTCATGTCCAATCTTGAGTGCAGATAGTCCTTACAGTAGGACTGCCACTCATCGCAGCAAAATCTGGGGTCTCTATCACTGACGATAGAAGTGGGCGGTCCATGGTGAGTGACCCGCCTCTCAGAAAAGGCTGCTCTCACAGCCGGAACCCTAGCTACCTCTGGCAAGGGGATAAACTCTGCATGTTTGGAGAACCTGTCCACGCAGACCATAACCTGACGCATGCCGTGAAGCGTGGTCTTGCCTAAATCTGTGAAGTCTATCGCCACAGATTCAGCAGGGCCATCAGGTATGGGTAAGGGTTTGAGCAGTCCCAAAGGAGGTCTACGATGGACCTTATTCCTTTGGCAAAGCTCACAGGTGTCCACATAACGCAGCATATTACTCCGCATCTCCTTCCAGAAGAAGCGCTGCGACAGGGCTGCATATGACTTTAGGAACCCAAAATGACCACGGGCATCATGACACTCTGACATCAGTAGTGTCCTGAGCCGTTGGTACTGGGGAATGCACAAGCGCTCCTCACCTCTACTGTAGGTATACAGCAAGTCTGAACTCAGAGCATAGTCTGGTTCAGAGTTAGGATCTGCTTGCAGATTCCTGACAATGGGTCTGAAAGTCTCATCCTGAGGCAGTAGATGAGCAATGATCTGACGGGTCTCCTCTCCAAAGGAGTGAGTAAAGGAGATCAACGCAAAAGAGTCACGCCTACGAGAGAGGGCATCTGCTACCTTGTTGTAGCAACCCTTCTTATGCTTCAACTCAAAGTCAAACATATCAATGAACTGAATATACCGTGCCAACTTATCATTCAACTCTCCCTGGGACTTCATCCACTGCAAAGTGGAGTGATCTGAAAAGATCTTGAAGTGCCTTCCCAGGAGAAAGTGCTTCCAATGCTTCAGGGCACAGACAAGAGCATACAACTCTTTCTCATAGGTAGAGTCCTGGAGCTTTTGAGTCTTGATCTTCTTACTCGTAAACTCTACAGGCCATAGACCATTCCCACCATCCTGCTGAAGAACTGCCCAAATGCCATACTGACTGGCATCAGTGGTCAGGATGAATGGCGGGGTCAGGTAACTTCAACACAGGCGCACGAGTCAAGGCCTTCTTGAGTCGTCTAAAGGCCAACTGAAAGGAAAGGGACCAAAGAAAGGGAGTATGTTTCTTTGTTAGGTTGGTCAGGGGTGCAGCCACTGCAGAAAAGTTCCTGACAAACTTTCTGTAGTACGAGGCTAGACCCATGAAGGACCTGACATCCCTCATTGTCTGTGGCTGAGGCCACTCCTGAATAGCAACAATCTTGGCTGCTTCAGGAGCCAGGCCATCTCCAGAGATTACATGACCCAGATAGATAACAGAGGGAACTCCAAAAGAGGATTTCTCTCTGTTGATCTTGTACTGGCTGTCACGTAACGACTGAAGGACAAGAGCCAAGTGCTCCGCATGTTCCCTGGCAGTTTTGCTGAATACCAGGATGTCATCCAGGTAGACAACCATAAATTTGTCCAGGTAAGGACTGAAGATGCGGTGCATCTCTGTCTGGAAGGTGCCTGGGGCATTGCAAAGTCGAAATGGCATGACCAGGAACTCATACGTCCCATACCTGGTCTTGAAGGTTGTCTTGTAGACATCCTCCTCTGCCATCTCAATCTGGTGGTAGCCGGATTTGAGGTCGACTCTGCTGAAAACTGTGCAGCCCTGCACCATGTCCAGGAGGTCGTCGATCCTAGGAAGTGGCCCTGTGCTCTTCCTAGTGATCTTGTTGAGACCCCTGTAGTCAATACACATTCTGAACTCGCCGTTCCCTTTGGGCACAAAGAGAACTGGTGCACCGAATTCAGAAGTGTTGGGTCTGATCCAACCCTTGCTGGTCAGGGTCTCAAGCTGCTTTCTAAGCTCCTCAAGCTCAGCAGGGGACATCCTGTAGATGCGGCCCTTGGGAGGGACCGCTCCAGGCAGCAGCTCAATGTGATGCTTGGTTGGTCGGTTGGGTAACCCAAAGGGCTCCTGCATCAGATCAGCATACTGATCTACCACCTACTGTATCTCAGGAGGAAAGGAAACAGGGAGAGCGTCAGTCTGCTTGACCAGAGCTATGAACAGACGCTCATGGTCATACTGGCGTGAGAGAGAGTAAAACTCTCTCGCTCTCAAGCAGTAGCAAGAGGTCTTAGGGTGATGATCAGCAGCAATCATGCATGGCTGATACACCCCCTGGCTATTTGGTAGCTCAAACTTTGGGATCTGCCAGTCGATCCTTGGGTTGTCTGCCAGTGAGAATACCAAGTCAAAGGGCAATTCAGGGAAAATGTAGAAGTTCAGACTGTGTCTGACTTCTCCAGCACTGTCAAAGGTCACAGGGATACCCTTGACCTTCTCCCTGATGCTGAGTACTGTAGAGTCACCAATCCTCACCAGCAGCGGTTGTTGCAGCTGCTGAACTTTCATGCCCAGTTGCAACTTTTAACTGCACTGGGGGACATGAAGTTCCTGGTGGCTCCACAGTCCAAGAGCCCAGTGATCCTGGTACGGTTGATCAGGGGCCGAAGCATGATGAGATCAGACTTGCTTTTCTTTTGTTCCTTCAGGTGAAGGAAGAAGGCTGCAAGTGACTGAAGCTCATCCTGCCCGGGTCCTGATCCGGGTCAGGATCCTCATAACAGAAGGATGTTGCCCGCGCAGTCCCCAAACAAACTGAATCTGTCTCAACTGAAACAGCCGCAGATTCACCTACCTGGGTAGATGAAGGTGCAGCACTGGGGGGAACTGCAGTCCCCAGGGTCTGTTTCAGTTTTTAGAGTGCCCTGGGCCTGGCATGTAAGGGCAGTCCTTTAGAAAGAGCTGTCCCTCACATCTCAGGCAGACCCCTCTCTCCTTTCTTCTTCTCCAGACTCCCTCCTGGATCTTGAGGTCATGCCAGGTGAGTGTGGAGGGATTGAGAAGGTCAGCTGGCATACGGACATCTTTGGGCAGGTTAGGGCGTTGGGAAGAGGAAGGCCAACGTCCCTTTTCCTTCCCCTTGGCACTGGTTGAGGCTGTGGTGGGGGAAATTTTATTCTGCTGCTGCAGAGCTCCCAGAACAGCCTGAGTCAGGGCTGCTGCAACATCTGTCTCAGGAGCAGATGAAGTCCCAGCTGAAGGTGCATAAGCCTGGGAATCTGAATCTGAACCTGATGCAGATCCCGCATGAGTAAAGGCTGCCTTTCCCTTTCTGCCACCTCTAGGGAAGGCACCTTTCCTCCTGTCAGAGGATGGGGCCTGGACATGAAGCTTTTCCTCCATGTCCAGGGCTGCACGGCCAAAGGACCTCCAGTCCTTGTGCCCAGCGCTATACAAGGCAACTGCAAACTTCTCAGGCGCTGCCCTGCAGAAGTTGGTCAGCAAATCATCAGTTGACATGACCAACCCAGGGGTGGAGGTCAGCTGCTCGAACTCAGCAAACAAGGCCTACAAGGTACCGCTATATCGCTGCTGCCCCAGGCGAGCAATCCTGTCCGCAGCCTTGCGGGCCCGCTCCTTGTCTGCGAATCGGTCCTCCAGGGCGGTTCAGTGAGCAGCGGCATAGCTGCTTGAAGCGGCAGCGACATAGCTGTTTTGGGTTGTCCTTTGGACAGCAGGTTGAAGCCTCAGTAATCCGCCATAGCCTCGGCCTGCAATGACAAGGAAGGAGAAGGGTGGCCATGGCTATGGTGGTCCTCATGTTGTGCCTGCAATAGAAGTGGGATTCGGACATTGATTCTGGTTCAGCCATTCAACATTATTATTGTTATTTCTTGTTTGAATAAGAGGGGAGGAGATAAGGAGGAGGAGATTGGTTGGCGAAGAAGAAGAGCCTTGCCATTGGTCTATGTTGGAGTACATCATCTTCTTCTTCTTTCTTACTTCTTCTTCTTCTTCTTTCCCTCTCTCTCCTCTCAAGTTCATTCATTTCTTTTTGCAATTAGATGGCATTGTACTTTCTGATGAATGTACACTTCGAAATTGGCCAGGATCGTAACACTTGTTAAAAATTCAAGCCAAGCCTACAATCTCCTGTCTCTCTCTCTCTCTCTCTCTCTCTTGTGCACGCGCTGGGATGCACTTCGACCCCAAGGCGCCTTCCCTCTTTCTCTCCTACTGTGTGGGTACATTCGTACCCGTCCTCAACCTCCATCCGCCTTTGTGCAGCCGTCCTTCCAACCCACCCGCCAGTGATCCCAACTGTCCACCCCATCCGTTCAACGCCAGCGAATGTTCAACCTCATGACGAGCCCATGAAAGTCGGACAAAGTCTGCGACAGTCATCTCTCTCTCTCTCTCTCTCTCTCTCTCTCTCTCTCTCTCTCTCTCTCTCTCTCTCTCCCCCCGATAAAACAGAGGAAGAGAATGAGATCCTGTTTTGGAATCCTGTCTGCGAACCGCTGTGGCGCTGATCTCCGCCGTGAGAGTAGTCGCCGCGGGTCCACTTGTACTATTAAAGGGAAACGCGGGTCTCGCATGACGCTCCCACGCGAAACCCGGGTGGCCAGCCTTGGGAAAACGACTGAAGCACAGGCTGGGCACGGGGAAAGGTGCAGCGAATATGCACAGCAAAAAACACAAACATCCTGCCATAGTTGCTTACGCCATTGCAAGGCCCGAATGACGTGGCTGGTGCATCCAAGCAACGAGTAAGGAGTCGGGAGCTGCATCGTGGAAGCATACTATGCCACGGGTGCCCTTCTGCTGGCCTGTTTCACGGGTGTTTGAATAGAGTTACATAGCAGGCCCAACATTCACAAAGAACCAAAACCATGACAGTTAATCTTTTCATGTTGTAGCTGAGATTCATTCCAGCTGCCTGGGGAACGACATTCGAGCCACAAGCAAGTACTCAGGAGATGGAATCCTGGGGGACAGCATCGTGTCCCGTCGCGTTTTTTTTTGTTTTTTTTTATTTTTCTGTTCAAAAGCAGTCATGATCCGGAATCCCTGCTGAGCTGGAATTCTGGGGAACAGCAGCGTGTCCCATCGCTTTTTTTTTTTTTTTTTTCCTCCCAAATTCTTTCGCCTTTCAATACCTACCTACTCCTATGGCTATTGAGGGGACCTCTGCAAGCATAGCTACCACTCACGGTGAATGCTTTTCGTGATCGGATCCTTTACGAATTGCTGGATTAAAAAATGGGGTTATAGATCTAAAAAAGACCCACCTGAGAAAAAAATATTCCCATGCCTGCTCAAACACCACTCAAGCGGCTTTGAGCGCGAGATTGAGCGACGCTCAAAAACTTGACCGCCGACCGCACGTTCAATCAGCGGGCAGTTACACAGCTCCGAAAGAGCAGCCCGCGGGAATGACACCCACAGCAAACACTCTCTGAGCCTCCTCGAGAAGACATTGTAGCCAAAACCCCGAACTCCCACCCCAGAAAAAAACTTGTGGCCAATCACAGACATTACTCCATTGACAAGACAGCCCATGCTGCAAAGCAGGGCACATAATTGTGTGTGTGTGTGTGTGTGTGTGTGTGTGTGTGTGTGTGTGTGTGTGCACGTGTGTGTGTGTGCGTGTGTGTCTATGTGCAGATGAAAGGACCACCTCGAGAAAGGTGGCACCTTGAGCTGCTGATATTGAGCAGCTAATAGGTCGCAGTCCAGCTACACCAGGAGCTTTAGCTACGGTGCCAGCAGTTCAGCACCATCTCCTCATCTCTGTACCTCCAGTCGCTCTTCACCTCCAGCGCTAACCCACTTCTCCTATGCATACCTACACATATCTATACTCCAGCAGCCCCGTGACCTCAAATCTAGAAGCAAATGACTGAATCTCCAACCGCCTGGCCCACCTCTACTCTCCGGCAAATTTATTTTTTGGACCGTGCTGCTCTAATCATGATCTGCACCCCGGCTTTCGCAATAGAGCACGTGGTCCTGCTCTGGGCAAGCACATGATCCACACTTCACAGCCTGGGCCTGAAATGGCAACCAGGGAATAGTGCCGCACTGCATCCACAGCTTCCTCTGTACCAGGTACACGACCCGTAGTGCGGACAAAACGCTTGCATGTGTGAAACGTTGTCCAGATTTCTTAGCACGGACATAATACCAGTGAAGCCTCTAAGTGTTCACAGTTTCTCCACCCACCAGGTCTGTGCTTTCTAAGCACGAACATAGTACAACTGGAGCCTCGGGCAAAGTGTTCACAGTCTCTCCGGCCAGCAGGTGTGTGCTTTGAGCGTGAACATGGTACCAGTGGAGCCTCGAGCCTCAGGCTAAGTGTTCTGAGTCTCTCCAGCCAGCAGGTCTGTTGCTCTCTCTGCACAAACATAGTGGGAGTAGACACTGGAACCTCAGGCCAAGTGTCTAGACTCACTCCAGCGGAGAACTGTTCAGAGTCTCTCCGGCCAGTACCTGGTAGCACTTTCACATCCCTTGGGGATTTGAAACCCCATAAGATGTGGGGGCGAGTTGAATCAGTTCATGGAGGCAGGACCTGGAAAAAGATTTGTGCACATAGACCATAGTGGGTGTAGGTCAGCCCCATCGATGGTGTTTTTTTCAACCAGCTTTCCTTGATGGGCAAGGTCCAAATCACACGGATGGTGGCTTTCCTTCATGGGCAAGGTCCCGCTCACACAGACTGGTCATTTCTCTTATCTTCGATAATCTATGTCCTGGAAACAAAGGATGGAGGTAAGTGGGACAATTGCTCCTGTGCACGAAGTTGGTGAAATATCCAGAAATCCATACGGTGAAAGACTGCAGAGCATTCCAAAAACGTATTGTGAAACCAATGGAGGAGGATGCAGGTACGTGGGATATTTCTACAACAGCTTTACCATAACCTGGAGGGGAAAAAGAAAAAAAAACACGTCCATGCAACTTGGAAAGAAAAGCAAAAGTTTCCAGCAGGAAATGAAAGTGGATGAAACTCTGGATCTCCGTGCAAGGAAAAAATGGTCAAGCCCTGCGAGTAATCCTAAACTTGAAGTACAAAGACATTCCGATGTTTTAACGTTCATAAGTACGTCTCTCCGTTAATGGTCTTTAGTCGCCTATCTATCAATGGCATTTGGTAACAAATCCGTGCAAGTGTCGTCCACCTTACACCACATGGCCCTCACCATAATATGTCGGTCGGCATCAAAGAGCCCAAGTTATTCAGCAAGAAAACAAGGATAAGAGGAGGATCAAAGACAGAAATAGAAAAAGGAAGAAGGGAAAAATGGGAGACGAAGACAAAGATGATGATGATGATATCGATTGCAAAGAAGAAGAAGAAGAAAAAAAAAAAAAAAAGAAGAAGAAGAAGAAGAAGAAGAGGGGGAAGAAGATCGAAGAAGAAGAAGAAGAAGAAGAAGAAGAAGAAGAAGAAGCAATGGGAAACAAACATACCGTTGTAGCTGGTCGTTCTTCATTCCATGTCAGGGTGACAAGGTCAAAACGAAAGAGATCATTCCGCCGCTCACCATGACTATTACTGCATCAATTGGCACGCATAAAAAAAAAAGTTCAAAAATGAAAAACAATCAAGCAGAGGCAGAAAACTAGTTTGAACTTTTAAATTGAAATCAGAATTACATCTAATCTTCCAACAAAACTCCTGCGTTTTACAAAGAGCCAAAGACATCGAATTCTATCTCCCAGCAAAAGAAAACTTTGCAGTGAAGTTTGAGAACACGAGTACAGAGTGTGTCCTGTGAGGCTTTTCCACTTTCTTCTGTATTTGCATCAATTGGCACCAAAAAAGAAAACATAAAAAATGAACAACAATCAAGCAGAGGCAGAAAACTAGTCTGAACATTTAAATTGAAATCAGATTTACATCTAATCTTCCAATGAAACTACTGTGTCCTACAAGGTGGCAAAGAAATTGCATTCTATCTCTCAGCAGAAGAAGCTCCTTTAAAGTTTAAACCACCAGTACCCCCGGGGTTCTCGGGACCCCTCTTGGGGGGGCTCAGAGACAAATGCATATGGACCTGCGCAGCGCACCGATTGAGCCACCGCGTGAACAGCCTAAAAACGTGGAGGTACTGGTGGTTTAAACCAACAGTACCACAAGGGGTCTTAGGGTCCCTCTGACACAAATGAATATAGACCCACACTGCGCACCGATTCCACCTCTGTGTGAACGCCTAAAAACACGGCAGGTACTGGTTCAGAAACATGTGTTCAAATTCAAAGCATGTCCTCTTAAGTTTTTCCACCTTACTCTGTGTACAAAATAGCACCTGCACAATGCTAAACATCAATCAATACTCATTGCCAGATAAGCTAGGGAGCTTCTAAGAGTCACGCCCTGGGATTACACCACTTACCGCGCTTAGTATCAATCTTTAGATTAGGTGCAAAGAAACCATGTGTTTTTTCTTTTTTTTCTTTTTTAAACCCTGTAATTACGGTATGGGTCATTAATTTGTTTCTCAATTTTCAGATCTTTATAAACTTCCGTTTAAGTTACGACATGTGTTTTACAAATCCACAGGTTTTTTTTTTTGTAATAACAACTCTTAACAAGTACGTTTTCCCTGAAAGAAGTGACCCTGGAAATCGCAAAAAAACAACGGCAGTACCAGTCTCTGTAACGCAAAACTTGGACACTGGAAATTTCTTATTTCCCCTCAGAACATCAGTCAGTTGTAGAAGATTCCATCCATAGGAGTCGTAGCTGGAAATCATTCACTGTGTAGCTGGAATTGCAGCCCGGTAGATCGACAAACCTCCCCAAGTATGCCCTTCATGAGTTGACCTGAGGTAACCATCACCATTCAGATAAGCTTGCATTCCGCAGATTGAGTTAGAAATCAACTGCACCTGATCAGGTCATGCAAAATACCCAACCGTGATCGGGAGACACTCCCATAGAAGGAAAAGGAAAAGAAAATCTATGAACATACTCGACTCGGATTGCGAACAGATTCCTATAATAATACGCCCTCAACTTGCAAAAATAGCATGTCATAATGTGTCACAATCAGAACCTCCCTCTCTGTGTCTGCTTCCCTCACCATCTATCTCCTCCTCCCCCCCCCACCAACCCCCAGGGGAAAAGAAACAACCCAGCCAGTCCAAACTTGAAAAGACCTTTGTACAACCGCGCTACTCTGAAACACCAAACCTGTACAGGCTCAATACTAGTCAATAGGATCCTCAGATTCAGTACTGCGGTAAGGATAAGGCTCACTAATGATATGTACGAGAGATTGAAAAGCATGAACCTGGCTGGTTCACAGGAAAATCACCTGCTTCCCACTCCTCCCTTCCCCCCGCCCTCCGCAAAGAAACGACCCCGCCAATCCAAACTTACAAAGACCTTTGCACAACCGCTACCCTGAAACCAAACCTGCAGACTCTAGACCACACTTGGGGTGCACCTGTGTAGTGCGCCAATCGCTGTGTGGCCATCCATGCACCCACGTGCACCACGGATATGTGCGCAGTGCGCAGTGCGCCGCACACTGTTTTTGTGCGCCGCCACCACCGCACTTTTTTTTTGGGGGGGGGCGAGCTGTATGTGTATGTGAGAGTGAGAGCGCGCACGCGCACGTGCACGAGAGAGAGAGAGAGAGAGAGAGAGAGAGAGAGAGAGAGAGAGAGAGAGAGAGAGAGAGAGAGAACAGTTCACAGAAATGTGACCATCTTGAGCACAAGGCACACTTCTCATTTTCGTACTTGCAGCGCTTCCATACACTGGAGGACAACTTTTTAATTGCAGCAGGAACCCTCAGAATGAATGTATCCGACAAGAATAGTCGCTCGCATACATTCAAAGATGTAAGGAGCCATTCTGGAGATTCCCGGGAACCTGACGAACGCTCATCATGACTGTAGCCCTCACTCCACCACTCACCAAAATGAGAATGAATCTTTCCGCTTAAATTGGAAAGATACATAGCCATAACTTTTGTCTTTTGTGCTTGGTGGAGCCACACCCTCTATAGGCCCTGAACCGTTGCGTGAACCCTCATTAAGACTGTACCTGTTCTGAATCGTTGCTTGTATACATTGGACGACACAACGAGTACACTCTTTTCTTATTTTCGGTTTTCGTAATTGACATCTCGTAGACATGGAGCCCTTACCGCAGTTCACGGGAAGCACAGTTTCCTTGCGCAGCAGGCAGCCTCATCATTCTGTATCTGACCACAATTCTCGCTCATATTCATTCCAGTAGGGAAGGAACTGTTGTCGAAGCTGATGGGAAGCACAGCTTTCAAGTGCAGCACAAACCCTCAGCATGATCGTATAGGACCCGAATCATCCGGCGTATACATTGGAGGACAGCGAGCCCTCTTTTTTTTTTATCTTGCAAACATCCGGCACGTTGATGACAAGAAGCACAGTTGTCTTGAGCTGAAGGCACGCTCATCATTTCTGTATCTGACACACGCTCATCATCTCCGTATTGGACCAGCATCATGGCTCCTATACATTCCACTGCAAAAGGAGCCCTTATAGAATCTCACAGGAAGCATACTCTTTGACAGCCGCATAAACCCTTCGCATGACTGTACTTGCCCCGAATCATCAACTGTACACGCTGATGTGGACACATCAGCGGGAAGAGCACTCCAGACTTGCTATTCTCAACAAAAAATGAAGAACGGACATTTCCGCAAAAGACCTTTTTCGGGATCACGTGCAACCCCAAATAAAAATTTGCCTGTCGTTGTTTTATTTTACGTTAATGGGGGGGCAGACCGACCTCCGGCCTCTGCAGGTTGTTTCTTTCCCCCCCAATTTTTGGGCATGCGGCGCATGCAGTGCGTAAGCATCATGCACAGTGCGCAATGCGCCACATGTATGCTCTAGAGTCTAGACTATATAGAGTCAATAGGCTCCTGCGATTCGACACTGTTGTAAAGACGGGGGTAACTACTGACATGTTTGAGAGGTTGGAAGTAGTCGATAGGTTGGTGGGATTTGTCACTGTTGTAGGGGCACACCCCACTGGTCCTATGTCCGTGCTTGGAAAACAAGAACCTCGTCGTAAACATGGACCAGGTGCGGTGAGCTTTCATAGCATGAACATAGCACCACTGGGGCCTGGCCCTGGCCCTTGGGATTATGGAAGGAAGGGTTTTCAGCTCATTTCAAATTTCGAGGCATTTGGTAACGGGTTCCAAGGTCGCAGGTGTTACACGGGCGGACGCCAGATGGCACACAAAGTAGCAAATTGCAATACTACCAGTTATGAGGATAACAAATGTGGAAAATGTGAAGGCAAAAGGAAAAAAGACTTAAAGAAAAGGATTACAAACACCGCACATTGAGAACCAAAAGGAAAACCAGAATGAGGATTAAAGGAGTCCACATGCACATCGAACCGGCATATTAAGTATTCAGTCAAATCAGATTAAAGGATGAGGATTCGTAACTGTCCTCCGAAGATATAAATCGCACCACCCAAAACACAGGCAGAGTGCCCTCGACGAGGGGAGGGTGCAGGGTTATCATCTGTTGGTGGCACAATGCTCCACGTCATCGTTTGCAGATTAAGGCAGTAGAGATCGTTAAGCAACTCTTCTTCGGATCCTGACTTCTCCCCACCAAAAACATATCTGCTCAGGACGACGAAGCATAAATAAACAGACACAACGGCACACGACCATCCACCAAAACCATAAGCCCTTTGACTTAGAATCTCCCTTAACCTGCTCTATGTTAAGGCCAATGTGTGAGTGTGTGTGTGTGTGTGCTAGGG